TAACACAAACTATAAATGAGTTAAAATGTTGGCAGTATCTGGAACCAAATACTGTCTCTTACAAGACTTTTTAGATCAACCACGAAGTTGTGTGTGGTTGCTTATGACCATACTGGAAGGGATCTATATCCTGCCCCTCTGCACGGTTGATTAGCTCAGGGAAACCGAGGTGATTGCACAGCTTCCAGTTCAGAGCTGATTGCAACCAGTAGGCTTAGAGCATGGTCAGAGAGCTTGCATCTGCCCACAGTCTTACCACGTAGATGTAATCACAGCGTGCCTGCCGCCGCACAACAGTCAGCATTCTGCAAGTCTGAATTCAAAGGATATGTATGGAGAGCATTTCTTTCTCTTTTTTTTTCGAGGAAAAGTGGTGGTGAAATCAGTGTGACATATTTGTGTAAAAAATGTTCTCAGAGATGTAATAAACACTTTACATGAGAAATTAATGAAGGAGAAATCTAAGAACTCCCAGGAATAGCTGTATGTCTGTTAGTTCTATCTATTTGCAAATTCAAAGTTGTTCAGGTCTGTGATACTGTTTTATAATCGCTATTTCTGGCAGAATAATTCTTATCAAAGAATGACCTTTACAGTAGAGAAGATATTTTCTGTCAAGAATAGTGACTGTAAATCAATTGCCATCAAACTTTTATTGCAGTTTTTACATAGACTTTTTGTTTTTATGAAGTCGTCCCAGGAGAATCAAACATGAACACTGCTGGGTGTTTATGGATATCCATATATTTAGAACAGCAGTATGAAAACGTTTCCGTAAATGTTTTTGTGCTTCTTAGCATGGAGGGCATTTCTTCTTTTCCCTTAAAAAAAAAAATAGTAATCAGAAACAGTTACAATAAAAGTCAAAATACAACAAGAGGCTAAATATTGTGATTTTTTTAGTACGAAATGTGATGATGTTAAAAGTTCTGAAATATTATTGTTTTTCAGAAATCAAACAACAATTGTTTAAACTTAACCAATGAGAAATTATAGTTCATAACATACAGGTAACACATGTGACTGAAAAAGCCAATATTGTTCTTTGTTTTACAGTGTTGTCCGCACATTTTCGGGTCTGCGAGCCATATACGGACTACAAAGGTCGCTACCACTTTGGTTTTCACTGCCCCCGTCTTTCTGACAATAAATCTTACATCTTTTGCTGTCACCATAACAACACCGTATTTAAATACTGCTGCAATGAGACAGAATTTCAGACTGTTATGCAGATGAACTTAACAGGGAACGCAGATGGATATATGCATAAGTAAGTAAATGAGTTTTAAAGTACTCTTCACCAAACTGTTCCTGGTCTAATAACGTAGTCTGAGGTGTACTTAATGATGGAAGCAATTAGAATAATTGCACATACAGAAAAATACTAAAAGGTTTTTGCTGTTACAGAACTCCTCTAAAAGAAAGGATATTTTAGCTTTGCTCTCTTTGCTTTGACATGGGCTATAAACATTGCTAGGAGAGCAGATATGTAAAAGTTGCATATAAATGTAACAAATATGAAGTTACATATAAAAGTAACGGAAGTCTCTCCCCTCACCCCAATCTGATCCAAACTATGTTTAAATGTATATCAGTAAAAATAAACCCCAAAGCTGTCCATAGGGGAGAGAGAGGGAGTGAGTTGACATTTTCCATATCAACCCAAATGCACTATTTTGGATCTCTGGTGTTTTGAATATAAATCTCTTGTAATCACTGACCTTGGGGAACAGAGCATATTTGCTTATATACCAACATTGTGTGGTCTCCTTGCCTGCTACCTGGGATACTTCCATGTACTGCTGGGGCCTATCCTCTAAGATAAATGTCAGTAACTTTTTTTCTAACGAACCAATAAGAAGCAAGTAGATCTTTGTTACTGATTACCTATCTACGATGACAAAATCTTCACTCGTGGTCTGTCTCCTATTTAGTACTGACATTATGGCCACACTGATCTGCTGCAATTTCTCTTGGGGCAGAGGGCAACTTTCAGCTGATGTAAACCCCCAAGGTCGAATTCTGATCTGCTTTGCCCTGGCGTTTTATTCTGGTATCCAGCCCCTCCAGAGCAAGGAAGGGGCAGATCAAAGACAACTGGAATTCCAGTCTATTGGTTTTTGTTTACAACAGGGATTTTAGTGTTTTCTTCTGCGGTGCAAAAGTCAGTCGGTGTGTTGTCATTCATTCCTGTGGAAGCAGGTGCAAGGCTGCTGGGAGACTATGGTGCTGGAATACTGGTCAGCTCTTTTACCTCGCTGTGTGCAGCAGCAGCCAGCTCATGGAGTCAGTAAACTGTTGTCTTCCTTAACAACCACTTCTCATACAGCTCTGCCTAGAGAAGTTTGAATCTTGCATAGATGTGGAAGTTGCATACTCTTAACTTTACAGGTGTTAAAGTGATGATCACATGCTATAAAGAAGTCTGCGTACTGTGTAGTGTAAAAGAAAGACAAAAATAGACTCTACTCATATAAGATACCTTTAAATCAATGTGGATCTATCCTGTCTTGTTACTGTATGTGCAGCTATGTCCTTGAGGTGAAATTTCCTTGCCTTGGCCTTGTAGTGCATCTGGGAACATCATGAGAACGTATCACACAGAACGCTGGGGAGATGCTTCAAGTCTAACAGGCCCATTAAAGGCCATCCATTTTCTCCACCCTTTGTGCAGTCCGGACAATCTAGAAACTGGTAGCACCCTCACCTGGGGCTACCCAGCTCTGCCAACATATATGCCTCCAGGCAGCCCGGTAGAGTTTGTATCACGGTATGCCCCAGAGCCTCCATGCAATGCGTACTTTACATACACTCCGTGGTAAAAGTAGGGTGTGCTCCCCCTTTGTTTGCTGGGATTGACCATGCTACCATGGCAGCAATCGGATGCCTGCCTGAAGAGAGATCCTCACAGGACTCTCAGTAGAGAAGGGCTGTGCGCATTGTCGCAGACAGAGCCAGAAGCTGCTTCACACTCAGAGTGATAGAAAGAGAGTCTGAAAAATGGACTAGGGTGGCTATTGCCCCCGCACTTTTCCAGTTCTTTGTCTTGCACACAGCAAATGTGCTTTATTTCTTCCCTTACTGTTCTGTAAACCCTGCACCAACACTGCTGAGCAACCAAGTCTGCCTAACAGGCAGCTTCATCACAGAGTTTGGGATGTTACTGGCCAACTGTAGTTCAGCCAAGTAGAAAGCCAGTGCTTCAGGCTTTTTCCAATACCTCAGCAGCTACTCCGTGTAGTCATGGCCAGAGCTTACTAAGGTAAGGCCCTTCTGTTCTTCCTTTCACCAACAACCTGAAGTGGACAGGGCAATCAGCCACTTTCCAAAGCAGACAGGCACAGAGGAACAGGTACAGTCTGATTGCAAAATATGCCCCGGGATATAGAACATTTCTCTGCCTCCTGCATTCTCTGTTTGCATGCCCGCTCACATACACATGCACACACACCCACAGAGAAATAAATATAGGGCTGTTCATATTATAGGGCTGTTGTGTGTGAGCAGTTCCTCAATGGGAAAAAGGTAATTTGGTATTCTATGAACTACAGTATTTATTTTAATGAAAATATTTAGAGCATAGTGTAAGTATTATATTAGTTTTCATTTAACGATCTTTTTTTTTTTTTTTTAAAAGTCACCTCATTCGGTTGTGATGGAGAAAAAGCTACCTCTGTAGTCTTTGTTGGTAAGATTCGTGGTTGAGAACCACCTGCAGACTATTTACCGTATATGCTTCAGTCCAGAATTTCCTGTGGACATTAGCTATGTGCTGATCTTTTGCAAATGTATGTAAAATCATGCTAAATACAATAAAAAACTTCTGGAGATGTAGCTTAGAGAAGTGCAAGAGTGGAACTGGTTTTGCCTTTTTGTAACTTCCTGAAATGTCACTTCTGATAAATCAGTCAGGGCCAGGAAAATGAAGAGACGCTAACTTTCTACGTAAAACTCCACCAATGTAGTGAGACAGAGGGAGAGGGATCTCCTCACCCTGAGCTCACTGAGATTGGTAGCAAACTTCCTGATAATTTTTAGTATGCTGTGGAGGGGCAGAAGGAAGTGAAGCCTAGATGCCTACGTTAAAAACATTGTAAAAAGCATCTTACTTAATACACTCTGACTGTATTTAACATATATGATAATTTAACTTTATTTGGATTTTCATACATCCAGGGTTCACTTTACAGTAACAAAGTCAGCTCTTTGTTTAGATCTAATTTCACACATCACTGAAAAAAATTCTGATGAAACCTATTGTACTGTGGCTGGGGAGAATGATTTAGGATATGGCAATAGCCATGAACTGAAAAAAAGGATTATAGTTTTCAGGGAAGAGTGATTCAATATTATTATTTGGTTTATTTCAATATTATTGTTTGGTTTATTTTTCCCTTTAGCCATTCTTGTGATCATCAAAACAAGTTTCTTGTTTTATAATGCAGTTGAGGGAAAAAATTAATGAAGTGACGTGTGATGGCACAGCTGAAAAAACACATTTGTCTTCTACAGTCACACAATATAACTATAGCCGGGTTTATTTACATTTTTTCCATTAGTATAACAAAAGATTTCTATGTTTTTCTAAGTGGAGAATACTGGACTATTATATCTTTGCGATCATGCAGCTTAATCAGTCTATAATATTTTTGAATGTGAACAATTCATTTAGTATTAAATATAGAAATACCAATGATGTCTAACAGACAAGAAAAGTTCTGCCATCCAAAGTATTTTTCCATAAAACTTTGTCTAATAAGTTGTTTAACTATTCTTAAAAATAGTATTCACTTGAATCTAGTATTCATACTCTCTCAGATTTTCTATTATGCATGTTTTGGTGGATTATCAGCAGAACTACTATGCTAGGGGTCCTTAATCTGGTACTGGAACAGTGTTACGGCGGTCTGTAGTGCATCCATGTTTTCCCTTATCTCTTTTTGCAGTTTTTCAGGATGGAATGGCTTTTGCACCACACTACAACATTGTACCAGAAGGAATGTGAGGATAGAATAGCACTATCCTTCTCCGTGTACAGCATGTCCCCTGCAGAGCTGGCACTTGCTTAAATATCTTCCAGAAAGCAAAAAAGCAAAAAAGCAAAAAAAAAAAAAAAAAGTATCAATTCCATTACCAACTGTTGCAAAAAGATGTAATTTAGCTGGGAAGACTTCTTAGGTACTACAGTAATAGATCCTACAGGAAAACACAGGATTGGGCAAAGGCCTTGAGATAGTAGTAAAAACAAATAGGAAAAAAAATCACATTTAAAGTGTACATGCAAAACCTGCACAGATTTCCTCAGTGTTAGAAGTGCCAAGGCATTTGCTAGGATGTAAGCTTGCATTTCCTTGGGGCAACACTTAAAAAGTGCTGCTACTGCAAGTAACAGCCCCGTTTAAGGAGAATAGAAAAGTTTCCATGGCCATCTGCCCACATTTAAACTCTGCAGCTCACAATTGTTTTGATTTGTTGGTTTTTTTAAGCCTGAATTCCCAAATGAGTTATTTTCTGTTCAGGTGCTGCACATAAAAAACAATAAACTCTTCTAAAAAAAATATAGCCTGGTCCTAACCTGCTTGTCATCTGTCTCAAAAAGTTAATGAATTAGATGGAAGGAATCACATGGGTAAGAATAACAATAAAAGAACCTGTAGGTGTTCCTTGTGTGTAGGGATGTTAGAGAAATCTAAGCAGGATTCTGTAGATGGAATAGGAGGAGATGGATGGTAAAAGTATTTATTGTTCTCGGAGAGCCCAATTCAGGGCTCCCTGAAGTCAGAGCAAATCTTTCCATTTACACAAGTGGGCTCTGTATCAAGGCTATACCACATATACGTCGTGTTTCTATAAAAGACAAAGTGTCTTAAAATAATGAGCTACTAAGCTTTTCTGATGGGTCCATGAATTACCCTGTTTCACAGCGAAGCTAGAAGGAAATTGTCTTGTAACTTTTACTCCAGATTTAGCTTTTGTATTTGTATGCCAGCAGCAGTGGAAGACTGGGCAACGTAGCTTTAGAAGTCATTTTCGGTGTTATATTGCTAAACCTGGCGTTGAACCTAAACAAAAACCTCCAAAATGACTTATTGAGAGGGGCAGGAGCACTAGCAGGGCAGGGCAAGCTTTCCAGCTGGGGAAGGGGAAAGGAGATTTAACCACACCAAAACAATATATATACTTGATTGTGTATATATACTTATACTTGGTTGTCCCTGTGTAGGAGCAAACCCCTATAATTTGAATCTCAGTAAATTTGGAATCTGTTCACACTTTATTTTTAACTGAAATGAAACTTCTGCACAAAAGTATAGAAAAATCAGATTGCAAGATGAAACTTTTACAATTAAATCATTCAGTTCAATGAAATGAGAGGAAGTCTTAGGAGTTTTTTGATTTCCAGTTCTTTTCTGTGTCTCTGGTCTTACTGTTATTCAGTGTAAGTAAGATTTGTTTATTTTCTAATTAAGACATCTTAATTTGTAGGGAAGTTTTAATTTTTACTATAAGTAGTAGCCATCAGCAAAATTAGTATTTTCTACCATCTTAATAGTGTGAGAAACATAAAACATCAAAGTATGGAATTTCCCTCTGTGTTCAAAACATACTGCTTATTTTGCTTGTGATTTTTCATAAGGCCGTTTTGATAATGCTGTTGTCCCACTGTCTGTTAATTTAAATAAAGCAGTCTTTCATTTTTCTACTTGTGAGAAACATGTTACTTAGAAGGAGCAGATGGATAACTCACGTATGGCATGATTAATAAATTGTTGCTTTAAATTGGAACACTCAAAATAGCTCTCATTTTTGCTAACCAAAATTTTGATGGGTGAAACTAAATACCTAAATACAAACAAATTCTTTTGAGTTTCCATGCTCCTCACATTGTTGCCAAAACAAAAATAACATGTTTTCTAATATTTCCATTCTTACTGTGGATCAAATACAGCTCACCTATTTGTAAAATGGATCCTATTGGCATTAGTGATGAAGAACAGGATTTGTTGCGGTGGATTTCTTCCTGACTTCTCCAGCCTTCACTTCCTTTTTATTTATATTAGCAGAAAATAGAAGAGTTTACCCCAATAGGAATAAATCCACTGAAAGTCAAGAGCAGCACTGCTGAGGAGCCTGGGTTAACCAGATCCTGTTACACTTTCAAGTGTCTGGACTGCAAAGATTTTAATGGCATTACAAAGGTCTACCCACTGTTGTGTGAAGTTAGGCATGCATGTGTAGGTCTTTAGTAGAGGCAAAGACTTTAGAGTTAAGGGTTTTCAGAAGCACTATATTTTGTCTACTTCCAATCCTCCTGGAAATTTAATAATTTTTTTTTTAAATCCTGAAGTTATACAGGAAGGGACCCATTAGCAGCTCTGACCTTCCTCTTGTTACTTACAGTTACTTGCTATGGAACCTCATTTAATCTACGCGCGGTATATCTGTGTAGTGGAAAAACCATTCCCTGGAGAGGAGAATCAGTCTCCTTAAGTGCTGACAGGCAGCAACACAGAAATTAAAATTCTGGTTTCTTATTTGATTTTGTGTTTCAAATCCTGATTTTTTTTAAAGTATAAAATGAAAGAGTCAAAGTTTAAGTGGAAGTGAAAGTTCAAAGCAGAGACTTGAAACGTTTGAGATCTGAAAAGGCTTGGGGCATGTTTTTAAAATATTAAAATATCTTTCTGGCTTGCATCTATAATATGTCTTCTCAGCCTTTTTTCTTCTCACAGCACTTCTGTTTTGATCAATGTTCTGATAAAATGCAGTTCCCTGAAAGTTTCTCTGAATGTCTGTGAAAGAGAGCATGGTTGAGTGTATGTTCAATTTTATTCATCTAAGTTCAGGTTCACGGAGATGTGAGTTGCCCACCCATTACTTCAGTAAAATTTTTCTCCAAGACTGCCTTCCTAATGACATTTTTTACGAGTGTTCCTTCTGCTTGCTCTTGTTTTTACAGTCTCTGGTACACATACTTCCACATTAGCTCATAGGTCTAGATTAGCCTTCTTCACTGTATACCTAACAATCTCATTCTTACCCATTTCTTTCTTTCTCTGTTCTGACCTCATCCTCCCCACTCACACAGTTTCCAATCCAAACTGCATTTACACCTGACAGTCATTTTTCTTTTAATAATATTGCATCTCCAGCAGAGCTTTAGCACTTCTTCCCCTTTTTGATCTCCAAATTTTTGATCCCTTACTCCTTTTCCTCCACACACCCCCCCCCCATCTTTTAATATCTTTAGTCACCTGTCATAGCTTTACAGCTCCGTGCACCATGTCAGCAGCTGATAATTTTCATGGCCTTTACCTATATATACACATAACTACACCAACATACACATGTAAATGTAGTACATACTTTCCTTCCTGTGGAATGCATTGTATAATAAGATCTTGTCAATGTTCTTCCTTCCTAAATTTATTACCAGCAAACTAAGGGATCTTTAGCAGTTGCTCCTGAAAGCCTATACTTCTACTAGTATTTTCTGTATCCAGCAATAGTTAATTATTAAATTCAGAGTAAATCCAAGCACATTAAACACCTTTTAAGACAAGAGGTTTATAATGCATGTCAGCAGTGAATGTTTTCAATAGTATAGACACTTCCCGGTCTCATTTATTACAGCATATTTTCATATGTTTAACCTTCGCTGTCATAAATGCCCTGTCACTTTCAGTAAGGTGACTCTCTGGGAGTGAGAATTTGCAGAATAAAGCATACGGCCCATCAACCATGGACATATCAGTGGTCTCACTTAAAGCATTGAAGCTAATTGTACACCAAATTTATGTGCTGATATAAATACACAGATGAAGGGGAGAAATAAAAATGTTTGTAAGACAGGGGGCGTTAGTTTTTAAAAACATCCCGTGTCATGCATATCACAGTATTTAGATTGAAATAATAAATAATTTTTAAGGACGCATGATAACCTTGATAAACTAACATGATGACCATTACTGATATATGAGATAACGTTTTTGTTTTCGCTTTTTTTCTTTCACAGCAACTACAGTGCACTGTTAGGTGTGTGGATCTATGGCTTTTTTGTGGTGATCTTGCTGGTACTGGACCTTTTATATTACTCTTCAATGAACTATGATATTTGCAAATTTTACCTGGCACGGTGGGGAATCCAGGGGAAGTGGATGACACAGGGGCAGAGCCGATGGATTAACCCTGCTCAGGATCCAAGCCAAGTACAGACACAGCCTCAGCCAGAGACACAGCCTCAAATTCAGCCACAGCCTCAAACATCGCAGACAGTACATACTTTAAAAGGAGATGCTTTAAGCCCACCCCTGATGTCTTTTCAGAGTACATCTGCCTGGTAAGTAAGTTAAGCCATGTTGTGATATATTTTTTGACTCTGTTGTTTTGTAGGGTGAACAATCACTTGTATTTGGAAGCGCCTGTAAATTCAGGCTGAACGGCACCGTTTCTAGCACATAATTCTTTATATAATGAACTGTCTTACAGAATTACTGCTTAAGAGTGATTTCTTACTCTGGAATATATTAAGTGATCATTTAATACTGTTCTCAGAAAAATAGATGCTGCCATTTTGCAGTGCTAAATAGTTTTACTGCTCTGTGGTACAAATAAACTACAAATCTTTGTTCTACATCAACCGTTATAAAATTAATTTTAATCTGGTGGCAAAGACTAATTGCTATGCGTATCTACATATCTGTTGGTCTGGTTTTAAAAGATTGTATAAATAGCAACACTGAAATAGCTTCAATGCAAGATGTCACAAATCCACACTATTTGTGGCATGAGACACAGAAACAACGTAAAAAACAGGTTAGCGTTTTTTTATGTGCGTAGACAAAAAAGCATAGCTTGATCTCATTTGACAGAGTGACACAAGTAGGCTACTGTAAAGTTAAATGCTACAAAACCAAAACAAAACCCTCCAAAAAACCCAGACCAAATGGGAGACATACTTCAGGAGCAGGCAGAACATGCAATGTAAGTAGAAGAAACTAAATACTGATAGCCATGGGACAAAATGACGTTGAATGATTTTGGACTGTTTTTACCAAAGAAAACAGAAGCGAAGAAAGAGAGCTGAATAAAACAATGCTCTGAATAAGGTGTCAAGAAAGGCAGGGACATTTTTCTTGGCAAGAGAGCATAAAGATTTGGAAGGGGGCAGAGAAGGTACAGGGTCAGTGTATTTTAGAAGTGTTCCAGAAGGCCGAGTGCTGACTTCTGGCAAAACAGGAACAGGTTGCCCAGAGAGGTGGTAGATGCCCCATCCCTGGAAACATTCAAGGTCAGGTTGGACGGGGCTCTGAGCAACCTGATCTAGTTGAAGATGTCCCTGCCCACGGCAGGGGGGTTGGACTAGATGACCTTTAAAGGTCCCTTCCAACCCAAATTATTCTACGATTCTATTCTATGATTCTAAAATAAAGTGATCTAAGAATGAGTAGGGTGAAAAAGATGACAGCAGTTCCTGAAGCTGTAGAGCACGTAAAGCCACAACACTGAGCTTGGTCTGAAACCTTTGCATAGTACTGTGTTGCAGATGGGATGATGATAGCAGTGGTCCTTTTATTTCATAACTTGCCCTTTAATTTTAAGTGTAAATCTAGAGCAAATAGGGTTGAAGATTTTTCGTAATAGAAGAGGTAGTAATAGTTTGACCCAAGGACAAGGACCAGTGAAAGAGGAGGTCATTTGGCATAGTAGCCAGTACTGGATGTATCCAGTGCAGATCAGACTTAAGGACCATTCTAGCAGGCCTTGTCCAAACAGAAGAGTCTAACAGTGCTACTTAAGATAGAGGCTTGCTTGTGCTTAATTGTAAGCACTCTTCTTTTCACTTCTTCCTTTTCTCTTCTTTTTTCTTCTTCTAATTCCTTCTGCTTTTTTGCACATTGATTTCCCAGTCTTCAGTCAGAATTGCCATACAGGTTAAGACCAACATTTGTAGTACAATAATTGTATTCCAGCTTAATACATGTGTGTGTGCGCCTCTGTGTATACAGAAAAATGTAATGACTGCATGAATATATATATATTAAAAAAAAAAAATATCAGCCTGGTTATACCACTTGGTAATTCCGCCATACCATTACAAATTAAAGGAAACTACTCAATAATTCTTGAAGGATTCTTGGTCACTTTCTGTTACTTACTTTTGTTGTTCTGTTTCTTTGCTTTTTTTGAAGGATTAAGCGGGGCATGTATGTTAGGATCAGGTGAGCATATCCCATATGCTCCTTTTCCTGTGTTTGCAGGAGATGAGCATTGATAAGTCACTCCAGTAACCCTCACCCCTTTCCCCAGTGAACCATCTGTCTGTGCTCCCCTCAGTTCCCGTAGTATTGTTTCTGGTTTTTTTCCAATCCTTTAATTGCTCAATGGAAGAAATAAGTAGATGTTCCCTTAGCAAAACCATGTTTATCCCTTGTATTTCAGCATGTGAAACACTACAAGAGATGCTGTATTTTCAAACTTATAACCTGCAACTTTTGAAACTCACAACCCCTTAACTAAGTGCATAGATGACTCAGTCTGAGTTGGATACATAAAAAATACCAAGAAAAAGGTAGTAGGCACTGGTGGTCACAAGCAAGGTGTTTACCATGTGAAAGAGGTTTTTGAGTAAACAGCTCCCTCAGCAAATGACCGGCTTGTATACTACAGCAATTGCTAAGACAGTGGAGAGTAAGAGGAGGTTGCCTGGCTATTTATTTCTCTGTTAGATAATCTGCAGGTTATATACATGAAAATATGGTAATTTTGCCATATAGAAATTAAGATTAGTTTCAGAGTCCGGTTCTGCTGCAGTCTATATTGGATGAATGACCTCAGTACTGTCTTCTCAAAATGTAATTGTACTATGAGTGAAGAAGTGCAATGGAGTTACTGGATTTATAATTTCCATCACTGGTTTTAAAATTGCCTAATCTATTAATACCTTTTTGTATTTTATACCTGAATTTCCATTATTCTAGATGATGACACCAACCTCTTAGACGTTACCTGCTTGGTAACAGCAGGTTTCCAGCCTATAAAATCAACTTTTTGGTTTGTGTTGACATTTTTAATGTGTCCTAAACTTATCCCGGCTTTTCCCTCTGTAGAGAAAATAATCATTTTTCTTTAGTACCTCACAAACGCACTTACATATATATCTATTGTTGGTATCATACCATAAGAACAGTTCCTGTTCACCTCACAAACACACTTACGTATATATCTATTGGTGGTATCATACCATAAGAACAGTTCCTGTTTACAGATGAGCTTTTTGAAAATACAAAATAGATTTTTTAATCCTGTGAGATATGCATATATCCCAAGGCATAAAAACTTAAATACTGTTAAAAACATTTTCCAAAACAGTTTGCAAATTTTCATGATGACAGGTGTTGTTGAAGTTGTTAGCCTCCTGTACTACACTTACCCTAATACAGTTAAAAAACATGCCCGTTCTAGAAGACACTACATGATGATAATAGGAAAGTGATTCTTGCACATCAAGAATCTCAGCCACACCGAAGACCTTAGGTATCCTTATTGCAGAGAACTGACAGTTTAAGGAACTATCCCAAGAAAGATGGCAGGATTAACCTATAGTTTATAAAGCGGTTTGGGATCTTCCTGGATTAAAAGAATGATGTAAGTGCTTTTTATTTTATCATTTCTTTTCTTGTTCTAGTTTAAATGCTATGAAGTGGCAATGAAACCAATGACTCAAACAGATATGTCTGAGAGAAAAATCAAGCAAGTCATAGTATATAGTGGGTAGAACCCATGCCCAAGATGTTTAAACATTTTGTCATAGCAGGTCACTTTATTATTTACTTGAGACAAAGAGGACCATGTATAGCCATAATATTATTATAACTAAAGAAATCTGGAATCCATTATACATGCTGCTGCCTGCTCTGCAGAGTGCTCGCAGTGTTGTGCAAGGACAGGAAAGAAAATCATTAATCTCAGAAACATCGAGCCCGATTTAGAATAATGTTGCTTCATCATGTAGTGTATGGATTTTGCGGCCCAACTGATGTTGATTTCTTCTTTAGTATGGAAACCATCTGAGGGCTGTCCAAAGGCCTGTGTGGTCTGAAGGTCCTGATGGATGTACCTTCCGCAACCCAAACGCCGTCACAGACTGCAAGTGAATGAGCTTAAACGCTTGTGGCTTGCCTCACAGTGGTTCCTCCAGGTCATGGCTGAGGTGCATGAGCTGGGCCCTTCCACACTCACTGGTCCATGTAAGAATCCGCAGTCTGGTTAGCCTGAGCAAGCTTTTAACAGCTGGAGACCAAACAGCAACAAGCAGCAGGCAAATCGTTACTACTGCTCAACAAAGTACAAGCCAGGGAGGAGATAAAATGAAATCTTGTAAGTTGAGGAATCAAAATCCTGACTACTGAAAAAACTTGTTCTCACAACCACGGGAATATTGTTAATTCATAATGACTAAAAAAGGTCAGACTAGCAAGGAAGATCACGTAAGAGGGAGTGTGGGCCAGGTTAGGTTCTCCAGATTCTCCATGGCTGTGCTGTGTTCCAGGTGTGAGAGGGGAACAGATGAAAGTGATCTCTCTGCCTTGCTCAGGTGATGTTAAACTCCTTTCCACCTCCATCAAGGATGCAAATCACAGGGAATACTGTCTTGAAATCTGACTTTTGCCTCTCTGTTCCCTGCTTTTCTGCACGCAGAGGCAATGTCTGCTCTGGATGTGATCATATATGTTATGCTACATGATTCACAGTTTTGGAAACCTGCTGGTTGTCCAGAATCAGGAAAAGTATCAGCCCAGCAGGATAAGCCTGTGCTTATTTCCTTTATGCAGTTGGAATGGGTTAGACAAAGGCAAGTCTATTTTACTTCCCTTTATTAGGTGTTGCAATTTGCTTTTGCTGTGAGTTCCTCTGAGTCACATTGTCTCTCAGACAACAAATAGAATAGTTTTTAGCCTGCTGCTATTCACCTGCTACTTGACACCTCTTCAAATGACTACCAAAGCGCTTATGAGCAAAGAGAGAAAAAAGCCTATAAAAATGTTGGCAGAGTTTAAAAGCCAGCAGGTAACTGAGCATGTCCACAGCAACTGTACAGAATACACAGGGAATAAATACTTTGCTGGTGGCTAAAAAGGCTACGTGAAAGGATTCCCTTTGATACCAAATTTTGAAACAGGAGCAAAATACCCACATTCAGTAGGTCCTCTGCTTCAATAATTTCTAAGAGCTGCGCATGCAGTCTTGCCTGTGTCACCTAGCTTGGGACATTGGCACTGAAGTGGGTCAGCTGTGCAGTGTCCACCAAAAGCATTAGGCGCTGGGGTGGCAGGAGGG